TCGGTGAAGAGGATGGTGTGGTAGGGCACCGTGGGGTCACACGTGGGCAGGATGCCTCCTACCAAGTGGCTCACCATGGCCAGGATCCCGTTGTACACCAGCAGGTCGTCCACCAGGAGCTGGGCGGGGCACACAGGGAAGCTCTGGGAGCGACTGGTGACCAGCAAGGGGCTGGGTGGGTGGGGGACAGCGAGCTCCTCCCGGCCCCAGCATGTGGCCACGCTGTGTGTCCACATCAACCATTCTGATAGGAACCCTGACTTCAAGGGGGACTGGCCAGGAACGTGTAACTAAACAGCAAACCCTGATGTCAGCGCCACAAGGCTCAGGGCGAGGTAACTTGATGCAGTTCAGTGGTGACTAGCAGGGGTAAGCTGTGTCACTGGCAACACCTAAGGCAAAGTCTGGCGTCTGGGAAACAGGAATTAAGGTGAAAAAAAAAAAATCTCAGATCAGAAAGCTGGGCAGAGCTGGGTTCAAACCTCCTTCCTACATTTGAGGGGAGGCCACGCACTGCACCATCCAGAGGCCTGGCTCTGCCCTCTGGCTGTGGACACACTGTGTGTCACACCTGTCCTGGTACACGCCCAGGTGCAAAGGCTCCTAACACCACATGCCTGCAGAGGATGCTGGGACTGAGGGGCTACTGCCAACCTTCACAGAGACCAGGGGAGACGGCTCCCTGGCCCTGCTCTCCCCACCGCCACCTCCCAAGCCCTGCTCTTCAAGCAGGAGACAGACAGAGGAGGAGCCCCTTTCTGATCTCCCCGGGGGAGGTTTTGAATTTCACGGCTGGATGGCAAATTCCCCAGCATCAGAGGCCCAGGCAGTTTGTGTCTAAGGTTGCAACAAAGAGAAGTAAATCAAACTGCGACAAATGAGAATTGCTGGCGGCCTAATTACCAACGAGCATAATTATCTCAAAAAGCCCTGCAAATAAGTACTTACGCCAAACTCCTTCACCCCACGATGGGGGGTTTTTGCGTAGTTCCACAGTTTGATCATCGACACGGTGGTGGGTAGATCGAAAATCACATACACCCGGTTCACCTGTCAGACAGAAGGACTGATTAAAGGCGGCATGTTTGGAAACAGGCGCTGGGCTGGGCCAGGGGGCCTGCGGTGGGCAGGGGGTAGCCAGGCAGGAGGCCCTGGCACCTCAGCCCACACCTGCCAGCGTGGTACGTGGTGGGCAGGTGCCCCTCTGCAGGCGGATCACGTGTGCTGTGTTTGCTACGAGCTGGCTCTGGAGGGTGTTTCTGGGCCTGGCATGGCCCTCCACGCACCCTGCACCCCACAGTTTCTCTCCCACCATCCCTCGGGGAGCCCTGTCCCAGGCATCCAGCCTGCCTTGGCCCCTGCTGGTCCTTTTCTTGGCTGCATCAATTAAAGCAAAGCAAAGCAAAGGCACTAAAGGCCCAGCTCGGCACCTTCCGGCCTCTGTCCTGTCGTCCAGTGGGAAGGGGCTGCCTGTATCAGGGGGACAACTCGGCCGTTAAGGCGACCCCTGACAGCACCAAACTGCTGCTCTGGCTGGCAAGCTCTCTAACCCACAGTAACCCTGGAAGGCAGAAGTGCCACACGCAGGGCCAGCCACGGGGTGTGGCCTTCACACACACAAGGCCTAAGCAGGCCCTCGGACTCAGTGCCTGGGGGGGTCTCGTGGGTCAAGATTTGAGTCCGGTGAGGAGACTCACCCCACTCCCAAAGGACTTCGCGTGGCAAGTGCCCATGAGCACGGGCTGAGGATGCCAGCGGCTGGACTGACTGAGCACCAGGACCAGAGCCGCAGGTCTGGGGGCAGAGCCACGCTTCCTCCTCTCGTGCGCTGGTGGGACGAGGGCCAAGGGGCTGGCCCAGCATGGCAAAGCTGACGGACTTTCACGGGGAACACGCTTTGGGGCGGGGGCTTAGGGCCTCAGTCATGAAAATGCCGATGGCTGTTCAGAGAGGAAGTGGGGGTCCCTCCTCACACCCACCACATGCAGTTGGTAAAGGGACACTTCAGGGATGTCCTAGGCCTGGCTGCACATCTTGACCCAGGTGTTTGGATCCCAGATAAGGAAGAGGCGGGAGGGGGTGCTCTGCCCATTTGAGACAGTGACAATTCCCATGGTCCACTGGCCCCACCTCCTGGGCCATCTTGTCCCGTCAGGCAGAGGTGACCAGGCCTGTGCTCACTGCCGGGCCTTAGAGCAGAAAGATAAGTAGAAAGTGAACTAACTCAGTCCCATAAGGACAAACACTCCATTATTGTGGAATGTGATTAAGGATCCAAGGTGTGTGTGTGAGGGGAAGCAGAGGAGGGGTGAGGATGGGCGGAGGGGAGGGCTGGTTAATCACAGGGTCACACAATGTGATGAGTGGAGGTAGAGGTGGGTATAGGAAATGGAAAAGATCAGGTGTGGAAAACAATGTATGCAAACTTTGTAAGAAAAGTATAAAATAAAAAAAATTTATTTATATAATAAAACAAAGTAAGTTGGCGGAAAAAAAGATAAGCAGAACCACGCAGCTGCAGAGTCAGAGAACGGGCACGGCCGGCTGTGCTGGGGTCAAGTGGCTGGTGACGTAAGGAGTGACAGCACAGAGCTGGAGGAAAGGGCAGAGTGGACCGAACCACAGGGAACCAACCATGACCGGCCCTGCTCAGGTGCCCAGGCCTGTGACCCCCGGCATCCCAGCTTCAGATTGCCATCTGACCACTGCTCGCTCTGGTGGCCACCTCAGAGCAAAGGGGAAGAACCAGAGGCCTCGGAGAGATGGCCTCCCCATGATGTTCGGCAAAACCTGGCCTTTCCTGGCAGCTCCCAGCTACCCGACTTAGGTGAGGGTAACCTGGCCTGGGACAGGGAGCCACCTGGGCCTCAGAGTCCCCACCTGGGAGCCATGGCCACTGGGAACTCACCAGACCTGGCAAGATGGGGGCCAGCCACATGTGCCTGCCATCACTGGTGTTGTTGACCTGGTCGATGAGCTTGTCAGGGGTCCGGACGTCCCCGCACACGCCCTCCAGGGAGTTCACGCTGTCCGGGAAGGCGGCGATATCTGAGGAGGTCTGTCAGCTGTCATAACTGGAAGGTGGGGTGCTGGGGCACTCTCAGGGGGCCTGGCAGCTTGGGGACCACGGGGAGAGCCAGTGTGGCTGCTCAGAGAAGCTGGGGGAGTGTGGGGAGGGGAGGTCACAGGGGAGTACGGGGAGGCTGGAGAGACTGAGTGTGAGTGAGTGTGTGAGAGAGTGAACACATGGAGGGGAGTGGGAGGAAAGAGTGTGTGTGTGTGTGTGTGTGTGTGTGTGTGTGAGAGAGAGAGAGAGAGAGAGAGAGAACACATGGAGGGGAGTGGGAGGAAAGAGTGTGTGTGTGAGAGAGAGAGAGAGAGCGTGCGCACATGGACGGTGGAAGAAGACAGTGAGTGTGAGAAAGGGAAAGGATGAGGTGGCCAGTGCTGAGTTCGAACACGCAGAACCGGGCAGATAGCTGGCGGAGGGAAAAGTGTCTGAGGCGGGGGCTTTAAAAATGCCCTTGCTGCTCCAGAGGGTGGGGGGCAAACTCTGAGTTCTTCGGGAAGTGAACACCTAGCGGCCCGATCACGCTTCAGCGTGTGAGGACCACCAAGGTGGACCCTCGGGCCTGGCATGACCCAGCCGCTGCTGCCCAGCTAACAGGCCTCAGGATGGTGCTGAGAACCCAGCTTCCAGTTCTGTCTCCATCATTAAAGCCCACGCATGGTCCTGGGCAAGTTATGCAGCACTTCTTGGCCCGTCTCCTCATCTGTTAAATGGGTATATAACAACCTTCATCCTACGACTGCTCGTGCACTTTTAAGCCTCCACGTGGGATAAAGGGAGCCTTACGGATCCAAGGAATCACTAAAAGTCAACAAATCATCAAGAGCAATTCAGCCCAGTGGAGGATTCGGGTGGCACCTGAGGAGGGTAGAAAAAGATCCAACTAGGACCCAAGGGCCCCTCAAACAGACGTGAGGCAAGTTGTGGGGTTGACCAGCTCTAGTAAGCCTCTCTCGTGCTGGTCAGGAATCCTTGGAGGGTTCTCTCAGGGAGAGACTGGAGCCGCCTTCAGAAGCCCACGGTCCCCGTATTGAGGGAGGGTGCAGTTAGCGGCCTCCCCCGGTTCCCTCACCCTCTGTTATAAGGGGCTCTCTGCTTCACGGGCTCCTGTAACTGGTCGATGGGCGGGGCTGGGGACTGTCCTCTGCTCTGTCCTCTACCCAAGAGTCAGCCTCTGGCTCTAAGCAAAGCCCCTGTTATGTGGTGTCTGGCCTCTGACTCCTGTCCATTCTGGACTTCTGCTCATTGCCCGGCCTTCCTGAGCTCCCCGTGGCCTGGCCAAGGCCCCAGCCCTGGGAAGGATACTGTTTTCCGACAGGGGGATCTTTTCTCCTCGCTCATCATACAGCTCCAAGCCCGTCAGGCCGATGTAATAGGGGTCGCCCCAGCTGGTCAGGAGCTGAAACTGGAAAATGACTGGGACGTTGGATTAAGGAAAACCAGGCTTTAATGGTGCTAGGAACGAAGTAAACAGTGGCATTAGATAACACTGAGAATTTTCTTTCTCAGTCTTCAGAGATCAAAGAGAAAAAAAAATGTTCTTCCTGGGAGTGAAGCCTATTAAAATATGTGTGACCTCAAATCTTTTCTAAGCGACATATGTGTGTTTGTGTGTGTATCATAGAAGTATATTTATTCACATATTTAAGGGACTATCCCTAAAACTCATTGCTGTCCATTCCAAATCACGTCTGTTCTGCAGGACAGAGTAGAGCTGTCCCAGGCAGTTTCCAAATCTACTGAAGGGCACAGAGAGGCAGAGGGCTTCAAACTAACCACCTTTCAGTTGGCAGGTGAGTGTTTTTAACCATTACACCATGAGGGTGTATTGCACACATGTATGTATCCTTCTCTGCCATCAAGTCAATGAAAACTCACAGAGAAGCACCAGTGGGTTTCCGAGGCAATGGTAAAGCTTACCAAGAGACTGTCCTGCTATATCCTGAGGAGCTGCTCACTGGTGGATTTGAACCTTTAGGCCCTTTGGTTAACAGCCCAACACACTGCAGTCTATGCTAGCAGAGCTCCTTACACACATACATGTTGTTGTTGTTACATGCCGTCAAGTCACCCATGACTCATGGCGACCCTATGGACAGCGGCGCTGAAGCCTGCCCTGTCCTGAGCTGGTCTCACTGACTCTGACACACCTACCTCCATTGCCCTAACTACTCTATCAATCCATCTCACCCAGAGTCCTCCTCTCCTGAGATGTCCCTCCAACCTTCCCAGCTTGATGTCCTTCTCCAAGGATCGGTCCCTATACGTATGTGTTACTCACTGTGGTCGAGTCAGGACGGACTCAGAACTGACCTTGCGGTGGGTTCCGGAGGCTGTAAATCACATGGGAGAAGGCTGCCCATCTTTCTCCCCTGGAGCAGTTGTTAGATTCAAACTGTCTGCTTCTGGGTTGGCAGGGTAACTTTTTGCCTCCTAGGCTACCATACAGACATATGCACTCACTCTGGCTCTGGCCAGGCACCTCCTCAGCCATCAGGTCACACACACACACACTGCATGCGCGTCTGAGAGGCAGAGTGGAGGATACAGCCACAGGGCATCAGCGGTGCCTCGTAGTCCATGCTTGCGTGCTCCCGGCTCTTCACCTGAAGCCTGAAAAACACAGACCAGCCAGTGAGGTGGGGTCCTGACCTGCCCGATGGCTTTACCCATAGGGATACTCAGGCTTCCAGTGTCCCTGACAGGTGGATGCTGTTGTGCACGGGAGTCGTGGGTGAGAAAAGTGAAGAAGAGAGAGGGGAAGTCACTCGCTCAGGTCACAAAGCTGGTAGGTGGCAGAGCAGGGCTGTGACCAGAGCCTGCTCAGGGCTGGAGGCTTCTCTGCCCATGCTCCCCTCTCCACAGAGGAGGTCAGACCATAGAGTGACCGCAGCCAGGGGGCTGGGGGGTGGGGGCCGAGTGACCAGGTGGGTGCAGGCTGCCTCAGTGGGTGGGTGGGGAGGCTGGCCTGAGCTAAGGCCTCAGTATCGAGGAAGAGAAAATTTCAGAAGAGTTAGGCAGAACGAGCTGGACAGATGGGTTCTGCCCTGGGGAGGCAGCCAGAGGGACAGGAGAGAGGGCAAGTTGGGGACAATGAGATGAGGGAGCTGAGTGTGGAGGTGGGCAGGGCCGTGAAGGCGTTGACATTGTGATTCTGAGCAAGTGTCTTAACCATCCAGGGCCTCAGTTTTCCATATCTGTAAAATGGACACAACAGCCCCTCCTTTTATGGTGCTGGGAGGGTTCTGGGACCTATGACTACAAAACTTCATGACAAAGCATTTATTTGGGGAAGTAAGTTCTGGCCTCCCTTCCCCGCACGTTCCTCCCCAGGGTGCGCTGTCCCTGGTCTCAGCCAGCCCCGGCTTTCTTCAATGTCAGGAGCAATGTTACAGTTAAGTGACTGCTCCCAGAGACCAGCCCAAGAACGGATCCTGCCGTGGCGAAGGGAAACTCATTTCCTTTCACGAGCATGGCCTCTGGCGTCTGGACATCAAGGGGGTTTAAATGAGTAAACCTAACGTGGCATTTACAAATTGTTATGAACCTACTGCAGCTGAAGCTGGGGCCAGGAAATCCCAGGGAGCGTGTGAAATGCTAGCCTCTATTTTTCTCCTTGAATCTTTCTAAACCAGGAACACAGGGGCCAGGGAAGGCAAGCCTTTCCCCAAATCGGCCAGCGGGCATTTCTGGAACCAAGGCGGGGCCTCCCCTTTTTTCCCAGCAGGAAGTGCATCGAGGCATTTAAAATCTTAAGCACTCCAGACTGAGAGAAACCCAAACAGCCTCAGACAAAGCAGGTGCATCCCACAGGTTTCCGGCGAGGCTTGGCTGAGCTTTAGAGAACGACCCAGTTAAAAGGCGGTGTGTTTGATCATCATTCCAAACCCCTGTAGTTACAGCTTCAGAGTCGCCCGCTGCGCTGGGTATGCGGATTCAGGGTAGGTGCCCGCCGCCCGCTGCCCGCTCACCTCCTGGTCGGCTGGGGCAGCAACCGTGGCTGCAGGTAGTCCACAAAGAGGATTTCTTGGGCAAAATCAAAGTGGCAGCTGCCTGGACCCTTCCGGATGAGGAAGCCCTCTGGGGGGGAGACGCTCAAGCCATCCAGGGAGACGTGGACAATCTTGGCCTGTGGACACAGGAAGGAGGATGTGTGAAGGGCTGGGTGGGGCGCAGGGAGAGCTGTGTGCTCACCCTGCGGGTGCTGTGCTTGGTGGCACTGACCACGGAGCCCCAGGCTCCGTGCTGCCAGAGTTTCCGGTCTCAGTACTCAGACGTGCATTCTCTGGCCCGTGTGGTTCTGGGCAGGGACGCGGCTGGGTCACAGCTCCAGCTGCAGTGCCCTGCGGCACTATGATGTGGTGCCCTGGGCATGGACCCTGCTCCCCATCATTACCATCTCAGCCCCAGGCGATGAGTGGGCCTCTGTGAGGTACCCAGAAGAGGACCCGGCACAAAATACACTCAGCCTGTGTGACCCGGCCCCACGTCTCCCAGCTACTTCACTCGGGGCAGGGCCATCTTCCATCCACCTCATTGCACTTTCTTAGGTCATGATGGCCTAGTGACCTCAGTGGTTCTGGGTCTCCCTAGGTGGCAGAGGCCCCAACACTGTCCCCTCAGGGCCTGGCTCCCAGAAGTGCTTACCAAGATCTAGACTGGGCTGGGCCAGCCAGAAGGCCAGGCTCCCTGGTAAACCTCAGGGCCTCACGGTCGGCCCCCTGAGCGGGCTCAGTCACACCTGTGCTCTGCTCCCCAGCTCTGGAACAGAGGGGGGGCTAAGCCAGCATCCTCTCACTTCACAGTCAGCAGTGAGGCCCACCCACCGCTCACTCGGAAGGATTCTCCTCGGAGGCAGGGCCGTCCAGGAAGAGCAACCGCGTGCCCTCGGCACTCGGGCATCGCCTGCCAGCCAAGTGAAGCAGAAGAGGGCGCATAAACTCCAACAACCCAGGTCAACTCAGGCTGTCGAGTCAGAATGGACACGGGGCTGACGCTCCTGTGAGCTGCAGAGGCTGCAGACCGCACGGGAAGAGACTGCCCACCTATCTGCCTCAGAGTGGCTGGTGGTTATGACCCTTTGGGTGAGCAGTGGAGCTCTCTACAGACTCTGCCAGCTGCCTTCAGGCACGGCAGATGTGGGGACCCAAAGATGTCGCCAGGGTCCCTGTCTCTGTCTCTCTCCAGCTCTCCACTCTGTTTCCCTCAGTCTGATTCCAAGGCTGGCCTCGGGCTGCACTTACGACCCAGGCCCAGCCAAGCTGAGACCGGCGTCCTGCTGACCACGTGACTGGTTCAGGACTGGTCATGTCACTGCACTGGACCTAACAGACACAGCCCGTGGGATTTGCTGTCTTGCTGGGAAGGTGAACTTTCTCTTTCGCTGGGTGTGGAGACAGCAAAGTGCAGGCTTGAAGCTGCCAGGGTTGAGCCTGTAGACAGAGTCCCCCTAAATGTAAACCTACAATGGAGAAAAGTAGGGGCCAAGGCACCCCAACAGATCCCCCAGAGCCACCAGCTCCCCAGGAAGTGCCTCGGGCGCCCAAGCAGAGCTGGTCTGTGCTTGTCTTCCTTTCATTCCCTGCGAAGTAGCTTCATATCAACTCCATCTGACAGCTACAGAAACCGGGGTTCAGGGAGGCAATGCCATGGGCTTGAAGACAGACAATGTGTGAAGGAATGAAGGGATCTGAAGCCCCATCTCCTTAAGCACAACCAGAGGCTTGTAACCAGATGCCCAGCAGGGCCTGCGGAGGCAGGTGTTCTGAGCACTTTCTGAGGATTAGCCGTCATCACTATCACCCTGAACTTGGGGTTGTCATCTGCAGGGAGTGGCACTGCCAACCCAAGCTGAAACCTCTCTGGTGGCTGGAATCTGACAGCAGCTCTGAGGGAGAAAGATGGGCAACCTTCTCCTGTCTCCTTCATGGCACCACACGCACCTGTCACTGGCACACAGCCAGTGGGGCCCAGACCTGTGACGCGAAGTCTCTGGGCCAAGCATTCCAGATGGTAAATTTAGGTTCTGGAAGCTCAACCAGAAAGACTGAGAATCACTCAAGGAAATCTAAAGGTCCGAGGGCATATGTATCAAGGTAGAAGGAAAGATATTTTTTAATGCCAATATACCTGAATTTTAAAACGTGCCCTGGAGTGCTTACAGAGACCCAGGTAGCCCTGGGAACAGCACATGTGAGCTGAGGAAGGCCAGCTCAGCTCAACCCCACCAACCCCACGCAGACCCCAAGAAAGGAGTTCTAGGGCAAAGCAGGCACAGAGGCCTGAAGTGGACTCAGGACCCGAGGCCAAGGTTCCGTCGACCTGACAAGGCAGGTGTTAAGAGTCACCTCAGTTTACAGATGAGGAAACGGAGGCCAGGGACGATCACGCCACATGTACAGCCGTGAGGGGCAGAGCTGAGACCATCCTCAGGTCATTGACTTCGGGGCTCTAGCTGGTTGTTGTCTGAGCGACCTTTGAGTGTCCTTCTTTCTCAGAACAGACAACAGTGTATATCCATTCTGAGAGCCCAGGGGCCGAGAGTCTCTGAAGTTCTCTATACTGTGACAGTGCTGTGTTTTTCCATCCAGCGGGAGGACGCACCATGGGGCTTGGCACGGGGCTCCAAGTGGAGCAGAGCTGTCTGGAGCCTGAGCCGTGCAATCTCAAACAAGTAACTGAACCCCTTCCGAGCCTCAGTGTAATACCCCAAAACCTAGGGGGTAATATCAGCTGCCTTCAGAGGCTGGGGTGAGGGTACAATGAAGTAATGAATTCTGTTGAGGCCCCCAGCTCAGGGTCCGGGTCCTGTCGCCTTCAATGATCACAGGGCCATAATTTTCCACGACAAGTTGGGGGCTGGGCCTGCTAGACCCTCCCTTGTTCCCCCAGAAGAAATGAGGCTCTGCATTCTCTCAAGTCTACCCAGCGTGCTTTGCCGCCATTAGCCATTTGCAGGCAAAATAAAACAGTGGTGACTTTCTCACTGGTTGTAACCCCCCAGCTCCATCTGGAAAGTTCTGGAGGATTTATGCTCCTCTCCGGCAGCCAGGCCGGCCATTTGTCAAGATGCTGCTTCCCCGACAGTGGACGGAGCCGCTGTCCCCGGCTTACCCCCCGGTAGGTGTCCTCGGGAGATTTATTGTAGTTCCAGAAGCGCAGGCCTGCGATGCTTTCAGCCCGGTCGAAACGGATGGTGACCGTGTGGTCCAGCCCCGGCGAGAAGGGGATCAGCCACATATGCTCATCCTCCATCGTGATGTTGACTCCGTCGATTAACCTGCAACAGGAATGGGGCGGGGGCACTGGTCTGAGAGGGAGACGTCACAGCCATTCACCTCCCCACTTGGCCTGGATGCACGGGCTCACGAAGGGGAGAAGGTACGAATGAAGTATCAGGATGTGGCTACCCCTCATCTGTGAAGTCAGACAGGAAAAGAAAAATGTATGAGCGCTGCCAAGCCCAAGGCAGGCCGTTCAAATCCACCAGCTGCTCCACCAGAGAAAGACGGGCAATCTCCTCCCAGCGATTTACAGCCTCTGAAAACCCCACTGGAGGCTCAGCTATGAGTCTCTTTGTTTTGACTCAACAAAAACATAACAGGAGTAGACAATTAAACAGGTACCCTGTGGGCACAGTGATAAAAACCTCCAGTAACTGAAAAGGCAGCAGTTCAAACCCACTGCAAGCTCTGGCAGTTTAGTTGTTTACAAGTTTAGAAACTGCACTATAATCCCAAGGCTTGTGGTTTGAATCCACCAGCTGCTCTGCAGAAGGATGGGCCATTCCCTTCCATTTGATTAACTGCAGCCTGTGGGAAAGTTCTTCTCTGTCCCCTGGCTTGCGAGGCGCTGACTTGATGGCAGTGGATTTGCTCTTGTTTGTTTCTATGCTCCAAAAAGTACAACCTAGTAATCACTGGGGCTAAAAGAAAAGGGGATGATGGCCTTTATGAATCCACAGGAGAAAGATGTGCAAACAAACTCTTCTCGTACCATTAAACTGTCTCTGAAAACCCACTGCAGGGTCAGCTATAAGTCGGTTCTAACTTGATACACAACAAGGAAAGAGGTATTTTGTGTGAGCCCACCAGCCGCCTCACGGGAGAAGTATGGGCACCTGCCTCCTGTGCCTCTGGAAACCTGCTGGAGGATCAGAGATGGGCGGCTTCCAACCCAACAGCACACAACAAGAAGGAAGAAAATGTACTCCACACATAGAAGAAAGGTATCTGCACAGAGATATTGATCAGTTCTCCTTAAACACACCCATACCTCAAAGCTTAAAATGACAAACTTGAGGGTGACCCAGGGAAGTGATGTAAAATCTAGAATGAGCACTGG